ATATATCCCACTTCTATCGGTCTGTGGTGTTTCTTTGTCCCTTGTGCAGAGAAAGATCCAGGGGGACACACATAGGATTGCCAATCTCAGTCCTGAGCTCTGAGCCACATAATCCACCCAGAGGGAGAGACCAAGCCTCCTGCCCCTCAGGACTGGCTGGGGTTGCTGATCCTGAGGGCCCGGATGGTCAGGCCTCCATGCCAGAGCTGGGGCCCCTTGTAGGCTCTTGGGGATTGTGGGGAGCTCAGAGGCTTCTGCCCCACGGCTCCCCACTTCCAAGCCATATCACCTTCCCAGTCCGTGCACCCCGACACCGAGTATTCCAGTCTGAGGTCTGTTGCGTCACGAGCACTCTCCTGCCTGCCTTTGACACGGATGCTCCTTTCCTCTTTGCTTTGGCAGGAGTTTATGTTCAAGTTCACGAGGAGGGAGCCTTGGATTGGCCTGCGCAGAGTCGGGGATGAATTCCACTGGGTCAATGGGGACCCCTTTGACCCAGACACGTGAGCTGAAGCTTCATCTTATACCGGAAGGCCTGACCTTGGGACACCCCCTTCCCACTCTGGAGAGAGAGGCTCGGTGTCACGCCAGCTGTGGCTGTGGCTGAGCGCCCTTAGGAAGATGGCTTTAGTTTTCTCTGCTTGAGGGTCCAGCATGGTTTCATAGCTCTGCCTCCCGCAGCCCTCAGGAAAAGCCCAGGCTTCGTCTGTGCAGTCTCCACCTTTGCAGCTCCCATGGTGTGGCTCTCCATACCCCCTTGGCCACAGCGGGAAAGCTAACTTGAGGGCATGTCCTGGGTGGCCTTGCCCAGCCGGCTGAAGCCCAGTCACGCGATCATACCTGGCCCCAGGGAGGGAGGAAGTGGAGCCCCCAGTTTGGGCAGCCATGTGCCGCCTGGGAATCGTCACTGTGGAGGAAAGGGGATCTGAGGGCATCGCCCACCAGCATTCTCTGAGCAAGCACCTCCCTGTGGAGAGGAGGATGCGGTGGTGCTGTCACGGGGTGGGGGTGGGGGTGAGGGTGACAGGGAGGGGTTGGGGCAGCCGCTGTGTGGCCGTGACAGCGAGGGTAATGATGCAGTAGGGATGTGGGGGCAGTTGAGGCTAAGGACATGCGGCTTGGGGAGTGTCTGTAGGGGAGCAGAACCTCAGCGGATTGGGCCGGGGGGCCAGCCCCATGATGACAACACGAATGTTCCAACGCTCTGCTTGTGGGATTCCAGCCGCCAGGGCTGTGAGATCAGGAGAACAAACGTGGCGCCTCCGCAACACACCCAGACTTGCATGGTCTCAGCGAGGGCACAGCCCCAGCTGTGCAGTGATACTGGGGTCCCTCCTGTCCCCCTTTGCTGCCAGCGTGTCTCTACTGAGCGCTCGCGTGTGCCTGATCCCAGGTGTTGTTGGGAGCCGGGGCTTGAGGGACGGAGTCCGTTTCACAGTTGGTAGTCCTGGGGACTGTAGGGGTAGACGCAGCTCCCCGCGAAGCTCTGATGAGTGCTGTCTGTGGGGCAGCCAGGTGCCAGGGGAGGGAGGGCACGCTCATGTTGGTCCCCGGAGCCTGGCGTGTGGTGGCCATCATGGAAGGTGGGGAGAGCCGGGAGCAGAGGGAGGAGACAGGCAGCCATATGAGAAGCTGCCCTGGGGGGGCCCGCCCAATAGCTCAGTTGTTGAAGTGCCTGCTTAAAGGAGGCAGTCAGTCTCTGGGAGCGCTGGTTCCATTCCCAGATACTCAAGGCAACCCAGACCAGCGCTGCTGGAGGTCAATGTGGAGC